ACAATAATCCCATCACCTCATCTGCAAACACAACTTTCACCAAACTTTAGACTAAACAGACAATTTGAAATTTCGAACAAAAAATTATGCAATAAATATTTTGACCTATTTATATTGCATTAATACTTTGATAATTAAATAATAATAATTTCTATCCCAATTACTACCACACGTTTCCAATTTTTATTTGTCCATGAGACTATATTTGTCTATATATTTATTTCCGTTCTTTCAGTGAATATTTTTATTTACGTTCCGCACAGTGAATATTTTTATAAATATGTCGAAATCAAATTCGTTGTTTTAAGTTGACTTTATTTTATTCTTCGCTAAAACTGCAGTAACTCTTGGCAAAAATTTCGAAGAAATCAGTACTCGGGATGCATCTTCCTAAATACTTTACTTCTATGCACACAAGGATCAGCTTGCTGGCAAATTTTCAATACAAAATAATTAAAGCTAGCCTTGAGAGAAATTCGAAATTTACATTCCGAGACTAGTTCAAAACATTAATTCAACTTATGCTCTAGTTTAAGTGAACACAGTGAGTGAACTCGTTGCCTTGTAAATAATAATACATTTACTCATTACGAATAATGTTGTAAAAAATCACATCACACATTTTTTAACTTATAACAAAACGGTTTTAGGTTACTGTCCTGGTTCCTGCAATATTTACATTTGAATACATTGCCACATTTGAATATATAAATTTGAATATATATCCTCAATTCATTCTACTGTGACCCAGCAGACGTAACAGGCTTTAGGTAACCCCAATGTTGCAGTCGCCATTGCGATTCAGCTCTCGTCCAAAGGCTAAATATTCCATGGCGATATTTATCGGCTATTTACAGTTAATCTCTTATGAAGCTAAAGAAAGATCTGGCCTATAGAGCCTCGCTGCAGTTTTGCTGTAACTCGGCCTCTGGGGCTCACTCGCGTACGTTGGCATGTTTATAGTGGGTATAATAAGCGTCTGCCTGCATGCCGTGAAATTGTATCAATAAAGGATTTTAATTTTTTTAGCTCTCAATCTGTGTAGTGAAGTTTGTAATATTTATCATACTTATTCAAAATTTTTTTGCTTCTCACCTTCCGAAGTGATTTTACCACAAAAGTTTTTAGAATTCTTATTGCTTCTGATAACTTATCGGGATAACTATAATCTCGGTGGTAATGAGCGAACTTGATCATCAGTTCTCTAGTGTAAGTCATATAAAGTTATACAGTCAATTATAAAGTAACGAAATCTGACTGAAGAATGCCTCACATTTTCAGTAAATCTTGATCATATCACAATTATGTTCACCAAGGGACGCATGCAAATGTGAACCGGGCGCTGGTCGCAAATCTTTATCTACGCGTGCACGCAGAAAAATTTGCGCGACATTATCCGAATAGCGATGCACTTCTTGACTTTGTGTGGGGACCCATTTTTGCCTAGCAAAAGGACGTATCAGTGCTACATGCAGACAGTGTGTCACTATTTGGACAAAATGAACCTTTACTTTTGTGATTGCGTCTGGCATGAACCATGCATTAGTCCCGGCAGGAGGCCGCTGCACACTCCATCTAACGACCTTGCAACAGCGCCCTCCGAAATTCCTATCCTTTACAAATGGTGACATATATCTCCTGGATGGCGAGTGTCCTTACATTTCTTATATTTCGTTTTTCTATTAAATAAAGTGACTTTTTATAAGAACAAACGTTTTCTGGGAGCTGCAATCTATTTAGCCTGTGTAGATCTGAAGGCGCCATCATCTCTAATATAACAGAAACAAAGGTTGCATGAACGGGTTCTATACATGTTGTTGACACATTCGAGTCAAATAAATTCATTTAATGTCCATCTGATCAGTTTCTGAACCTATCGTAGTTCGTTTGATTTATTTGGTATATTATAACTCAAACCTAGCGGGAACTTCGTTGAAATCGGAAAATCTAGGTGATAAGGACATTCTTATATAGTTCATTGCTGCTGGCCTTACATTTGTGAATGAAATTTCGTCTGTCTTAACTGTGCAAAATATCTGATAATTTTCATGAAATTTGTATGATAAGAAGAAAATTCATTATCTTTTATGTATGATAGAAGATAAGAATTTAGATTTTTAGTATTGGATGGAATTGGAAGAAAATCGAGGACTAATTCGCGTCTCATTCGAATGTATCCAGACGATGTAATTTTATTTGTTTCTTAATTTTCCAACGAACATTGAGAATTATTTCAGGATTCGCATGGTCCCCACCGGCTGCCAAGTTTCATGTTAAACTTCCCTGTACAGATTGACTTTGCGACTCACTAGCCCTTACCCACAGGGCCCAGATACATCATGAAAAGAGCCGACTGGAAGACCTTTAGATTAATGGCTCGCAAACCCAGTTCGGTGCGGGATAATAATGTTCACACCTACGCGAATCTTTTCAGGAACATTTGGAAATTCCGTTCGCCTGTGATGCTCGTTCGGTGTAAATGGGCCTGTCATGTGTAGTAACAGAGTTGAAATATTTCTCATACAGATGAAAAGTTCTTCACGTGCAAAACTCATACAGCTTACTGAGTCCATTAAACAAAAAATATTGTTATATTTTATAAACTAAGATTTTTGGAAAGCAGGATGCGGCGGTACTCTAATTTAATTTTCATCGGGAGGATGGTAGATTAATTATTCTTGGTTATAATATAGCGGTTTCAGCGTTTATTAGGCCGGAGGCCTGTCGCCGATTCTTAACATCGCAGAACATTAACAGCTTGTTGCGGGCTTGAACCCGCAACTCACTGCTACAATTCTGCTGTGCTTTACCGCCCGGCCTCCTCGCCGATTCTGACCAGAAACTGGCGCACAGAGCTGGGATCGAACCCGCGCCTCTCTGCGCCAATCTTGGTACTCTGAACTGTAACCACTGGGTGTGCAAGCTTCATTGCAGATTGCATTGCATTGCAAGCTTTATTGCGGAATTTATGGATTCATTAGCAAATCCAAAGTAGTTTGAGAAATTTAAATCAAGGCTATTCTTAAATGGATTTTCAAATGTTTCGAGTCTCATCGATGTATTTGTATTTTAATATTTGAAATTATCCATTTGGAAAAACATCTTCATATCTCATGTTCTCATCAAATTGTAAATAGATTAATTTGCCAGCAATTTTTCACCGTTTACTTTATTTGACCTTTTGTGCTATCAATCCAGGTTATTTTAAATTTTACTAAAATTTGAAGCAAGTGTTTCTTTGCACGCTGGTGTGACAGAACTGATGACGAAGCTGGACTCCTAGCTTAACGACATCAAAATATGCTGAAGCACCTTGATAATTTATTACGTTTAAATTATTATTACAAATTCGACGTTTTTATAACTGGCTTCACTTTTCTTACAGACAACGTCACTGTACTGGACAGACTGATGACGCCNCTGATGACGCCCGAGGCGACGAAAGGAAAATCCTAAATGACGAAGACGTGCAACGTTTCGACGAGCTCAGCTAACTTCAAGACGAACTCTTTTGTGTCTTTAACCTACGGGCATGAACTTAGCGCCGCGATGGCAGTACCTATCTTATGACGTTAAATTTTCTAAATAAAATACAATAATAATTCGTTTAAATAATGACATTAAGGTAAATTAGATTATTATTATCAGCATAACATTGGCATTTTGCATTTATATTTGCTAAAAGCAGAGTACCGACCAGAAGATTGCTGCGCTATTTGTATGACAACAACGGTCGCTGGCATTATATTTGGTCGAATCAAAGTCGTCTGTTTGAATTACATTAACTCTAACACAGACCAATGACACAAATATCCAGTGAAAAGTAAGCAAACCAAGTTAGAATACTGAAAATAGTGAAAAACATGGTTTGAGTGGCTTCTTTAAATGAGAAGTTTCAATTAAAAGAAGACAATTGTTAAAATTATGTTATACGACACTGCGGGGCTGGTGGAATAGCTCTTTGAAATCAGCATAAATTCTTAAATTCAAAGGATACCCTGACACGGACGAGACTACTTATTACGAACACTATTGTGGTAATACAAGAATTGACTTGAGTGAGTTGAAGAGAAGTGAAATGATTTTGACTTGTTAAAAGTATCAGGTTTTTTACTGATAAAGTGACTAAAGAGAACTTAATCGTGAAATAAAGTGCCGTTACTGCTTCGCTAAGTGACAGACATGTCATTTTTAATCCGTCTCATTTAATTTAATTTAAACGATATCACTAATGATTCTGGATCTGGCAGATCTAAAGTGCTAATTTCAAAACAAAAAGCGGAAAAACCTGTCTCGTCGCCAATACGTCACTTAATTACAGTCCATTGTGCAGATCATACTGGGAAGTCCATTTGAATTTTTCAAACCTATCTTTATTTGAAAAATCTATTTCCCTATTTGAATGTAGGATGAAACTTATCTGACTCTTACAATTTTAATGAAATTTTGTCTTCAACGGAAGGAAATTTGGTGACGTTTATAGGGAAAGACGCAGAAAATTATACACACAAAGATCCGTAACAGAACATTTTTGAAAATCTTGCGTGAGCTTGAAGGAGGATAATCGATTCCTGACCAGCAAATGATTGCCTGGAAAATACAAGTCAACTAAATGAACAACTATTTATTAATCGGTAACAACGTGCTTTGTTGAAATGGCACTGAAACGCAAGAAAAAATTTAACCGCGTAATGAATGTACGCAGAGAACTCTCGTTTAATCAGTATCCATCTCCTGAGAAAAGTGACTTTAGTTTAACTGATTTAAGCTTTACTAATCGGTGCAGCAAATTTAATTAAGATAATTTCGCCTTGACTTCACCCGCTGTCATAAAAACTTCACAGCGTAGTCTTTGACAAATACATTACTGAAGCTAATGAACAATTGAAAAGTCAATGGAATCATGCTACATCAACTCATTTTTGATCATATGAAGTTTCGTATGCTGTACTAGTGATACTCTGTTACTTCATATACACGCTCGGTATTGTTGATAACTTCGAAACAAGAGTGATACAGAGGACATGCCTAGGCCTATAATTCTTCCTCCTTTGGGAGGTGAGAAAATACTGATTTATAAATGGTTCTTATGCCTACCGTTTGATATATTTGATATATGATTTACTGCGTCCAAAATTATTCTTTATGAGATATTATTTTAGCACTTGATTTGGCGCCGTTAGGTAATGAACGAGGTTAGAAATCTTCCTGGAACCGTACTATCAAAAACTGCCAATCAAAGACCGCTTTTCATGCCAAGTCCACATAACGTAGACAAGAAATTCGCTGCAACCTGTACAATGTACAGTTGTTCATGGGCCACACTTGCACTTAAGCAGGTATTGATAGTACGACTCCAGTTTTAACGACCTCGCAATTAAAATTATTATATAATTTACTAAATTTCCAATTACCATACCAAGATTTTGAGGAGTTACCTACTGTTGATTACTTATATTATTTACTAAATTATATAATCATATCTAAAATTATATAATTTACTAAACGTTCTGTTTTTCCATACTAACTTAATTTTTGTACCGCAATAAGCACGCCCTATACATCTTGTTTTTAATGTAATAAATCTTTAGAGGATGGATGTCTCCTTCTGAGGAGTCGGTTCATTGCCGATTTTAATAAGTCACCTACCACTGGTCAACGATTAGGTTGCTGCTTGTAAATATAGATACCTACCGCTGATGTTCAATTCAGTTGTTACTCGCAAGGAGCTACCTTTTACTGTTACCTGGTCAACTTGCTGCGCTGCTTCAAGTAGTGACTAACCGCTGATGTCAAAGTTTAGTTCAGTCTGCAGAGAGATACCCATCACTGTAGTCAAGTTAATTTTCAGTATGTATGGCGGTATTTACCACAATTGATTACTTACAGTTTGTGAGAAGTTACCAACCTTTGATTACTTAAAGATTTTGCGGAGTTACCTACTGTTGATTACTTATAGTTTGTGAGAAGTTGCCAACCTTTGATTACTTAAAGATTTTGAGGAGTTACCTACTGTTGATTACTTATAGTTTTTGAGAAGTTACCTACCTTGGATTACTTATAGTTCGTGAGGAGTTACCTACCTTTAATTACTTATAGTTCTTGAGGAATTACCTACCATTGATTACTTATAGTTTGTGAGAAGTTACCTACCTTGGATTATTTATAGTTTGTGAGGAGTTAACAACCATTTATTAATTAATTATAGTTTTTGAGAAGTTACCTACCTTTGATTACTTATAGTTCTTGAGGAATTACCTACCATTGATTACTTATAGTTTGTGAGGAGTTACCTACCTTTAATTAATTATAGTTTTTGAAGAGTTACCTACCTTTGATTACTTATAGTTCGTGAGGAGTTACCTACCTTTGATTACTTATAGTTTGTGAGAAGTTACCTACTATTGCTATGCTCTTTGCAGGCTACATACCCTTCATCAACATCCCCTGCGAACGTGACATCGGAGAGTCAATCAAGTGGGTGGTGGTGCTGTCGCTACTCCCCCTCAACTGTCAGTTGGTGCCCTGGCTCTGCTGTCCCTTGCCCGTGAGTTGCTGGATACATCGAAGTGCTTTTATTGTGAAATTCAAATCATCAAAAAGACATTGCACCAGCAGATATAGATTTTTATCAAAAAGATATAGCATTGTCAGATGTAGATAGTTACTTCATCAAAAATATATTGCAACTAAGCTAATGTTTCTTAACTTTGTTGGGCTCATCACCCCGTAGTTTCATAATTTTTCGTATCACCCTTCACAATGAACAGAGTGTATTGAAAACGAATGCTGTCGCGAATAAAGTTTGATGAACAAAATGGACTTAAATTTAGGATTAATTACTGTTCTGGATAGTTAGAACATCGATTTAATGAAATTCTTAGGTCGTTCATGTAGTATTTTCTAAATTGTACTTCGCGGTGTCTTATTAGGAGTAACTATTCCGGTTAGTTGTATCAAGAAGACGAAATTTTTCAGCATATCAAAATATTTTATTAACATAATTGAAATTCTAGTTTTTTGCGACCAAAATATCCAAAGTAAGCGTCCGCACCCACTGACATTAACAATTAAAAAAAATTAACCTTCACGAAAAGAGAAATATTATGTCCTACGATACAAAAGATTTGAGCCATAAATTCTAAGCAAAGGGAAGATTAGGAAACTTATACCCAGGTCAAAAATAATGAAGGTTATAAACGCAATTCTAAGTATCCTGCTACAAAATCGTTGAAATAGAGAATTAGAAGAGAACGCGGCTTCAGATTTAATTCGTCAACAAATCTAAAGAAGAATTTCTAGGTTTTTCACTCTACCCCAAATTGTACATCTTAACACAAAGCCTCCGAGGCCTGACTAACATCTACGCCCATAACCTTGCCCATTACAGCCTCGTTCCTACCAACCTCCTAAAGTTAGGGGCATAAATGTAGCGCTAGGGGCCAGAATGAGAAATTCAACACGAAAAATAGATAACGGTTGTGCTTTTGCTACCGTTACTGAGAAATAAGATTTTCAAGTTACAATAAATGTAAGCTTATCATCTGAATAAAAACCAAACAAATCAGAAATTATAGCGGCAGACCTGAGTTAACGTTGATGATGTAGATAGAAATTGAGGTGTGAACGAAAAACGCTCCTGACTTCGCCAGTGGGTCGTTGCGGAAAAAAAATGACGGGTGAGGTAACAGGATTCAAGCAGTTTCAATATTTTATGTCAACGACGTGCTGGAGGCTTTGGCTCACTTCATCGTCAAAGCTAATATTTGTTTTGCCGACAGCTGTTTACGTCTTCAAGTACGAATAACTTAGAAGTGAATCTTCGAAGCTTGGTGTGGAGAGTAATTAATCCGCATTATTATTATTATTATTATTATATTATTATTATTATTAAATAATAATACCATTATATCAACTTGCGTGAAAACAGACATATCAAGGGGTTTCATAGAACTTGATGAATCATAGGATATAATTGTACCTGAGAGAGCTGACAATATTAGTTACAAACACGACTGGGACATATAGGACTTTTTTTGCTGCTTTTGATTTTCCAGTAAGCTGGTCGCGACTTTGCTGTGAAATTGTTTCATAACGCCTGAAAGTTTGACTTATTTTCTTCCGTTATCGGGATTGACCTTAATTGTTGAATCACTTGAACGACGTAGATGGTTTAATTGCCTGGTTGATGACCATTTTCTCGCTTACTTTGAACAAAATATAGAATTTCAATTCCTTTTAAATAAAGTATATTTTATTGTTAATTACCGAAAGTTAAATTAAACTGAACCGTTGAAAATTAAACTGAACTGATAGCCGTTTTTCTCAAATTAACTCGACTGTTTAAAATAAATACATCCAACTGTGCATACGTGCATACTAGGAACGATAACTCACGAACTAAAATAAAAGAACAAAGTTTAAATAATAATATTGCTCACCTAGCAAGATATTTCTGGGTATTCAATCCATACAACTACCCTGAATGCCCGCAAATTTTCTGTCCAAACATTAAACACTAACCACGTCTTGTGCTGCAGGCACCTGCACCTCGCTTGTAGACCATATATGTGACAGAAAAAAGTATTTAAAAGCAAAGAAAACGCCAAGAAAATTCACCATATCGATATTGAAAACGTTTCGGAGTCCAGCTCCATCATCAGTTCGAATAACCTAAAAATGAATAATTCATTTTATAAGTCAAAATTCAAACGTTTTCAATATCGATATGGTGAATTTTCTTGGCGTTTTCTTTGCTTTTAAATTCCTTATGAACTTGCGATATAAGCAGACTGATGATTTATAGGAAAAAGTATGTATTAAAATTGTCTATCATATTTACAGTTGTGACAATTTTAATGTGCGTTGGAATAGCTATGTATTTAACAACATATGTAGTTAAAATAATATTGTTGACTTCAAAATATATTAATAAAGCTGAACCGTTTACTCAACGTCTCATTAACGCTTGAATGCTTGTTCAAACTGGAGCACGCGTTCAATATCTATCTTAACCTGGAACACTCGCTCATTTTTAAGAAGACGAAAAACATCTGCTTCTCTTCGTTCGAGACCGCATGGCAATCACAATAGGTTGGTAAGCAGTTGTGATGGCCGTTATATGGTTCTCTGATGAGACGCAGCTATGCAAGTAAACGCTGCTAAAAGTTAATGAAGTTAAAAATAAAAGAACGACTAAAATATTCCTGATCCCATACCTTGGTATATCTTGGTAACCAAATCTGTGAGATTTATCGCTAACTTTTTATACTTGGCTGTAAGGAATTTGGAACATTTTTTGCCCTAGGCATTGACACTATATATGTAGTCACTTGCTAGTGAGCTACTAGTTAGTAGTTAACTACGGCTTTTGTATTGTCATACACAAATATACAATGACCCAACACTATTGTATGTTCGTGTGCCATAGTAATACTCTGTTATACTCATTTGTACCCATCCATTCAAGATCTTTTATGAACTTTGAATTAGTAACAAAATCATCAACCGAATTCTTTGCATTGTTTAATTGGGCAACTGTCACGACTTCATTTGCTTATGCGAAAAGATTATCTTATTTTATTTATATAAATTTTTTCTTCATAATTTTCATTGTGAATTTAATGCCCAGGTCGCACGTACACCGCCTCAGCGTCGTTCCACTTGTTACCTGACGCCCATTAGTTTGGCTTTGTACCGTTCATCCGTCGAATTTTTTACGAATTATTTTACATAAATTAGCGTTGATTCTTGTGCTATTATGATATCACTGCATTAAATATGATGTTAAAGCTCATGCATATGATATATATTTTAGAGAGTGGTTATGTCCAACCCTGATTTAAAATAAAATTACGTAGACAGAAAGCACCTCGTTTCGCTGAAGAAAGATGTAAAAATGCTGCGTAGTAATTGTTATTTTCGTATGTGTTGCAGACACGCTACGCCGCTGTGTTTTTTTCTGTTACAGGTAACTATTTTTCGGAACATGAGGCTCGGTCGCAGGCTGAGGTAGTGGATTATATTTAGGTAAGATAAACGCATGTTCATGTTTCTTGAAGCTTTTGTTGTAGCTGCGTGGTCGAATATGTGTTGGACTAATTTTCTACCAAAAAAATTCTCGAAAGTAAAATTTATAAACAACAAAATGATGATTAATCTGAACGTAATTTCTGGTAACAAATCATAACAAAACTATAATAGTTGTTTTTTTCTAATTAAGGTAACCTACTTCACGTTGATTTTTTTGGCGGCAGCCCCATATACAGTCCGGCTTTGGAGCTCTGGAGTGTCCACTGATCTCACGAATTTAGTACTTTGATATTTGTTGTCTCCTTTAAACGCGACCTTAATCTCTTGCATTTGCAGTTCTTCGATATTTATTGTCTCCTTTTAAACGCGACCTTAATCTCTTGCATTGGCAGTTCTTTGATATTTATTATCTCCTTTAAACGCAATCTCAATCTCTTTCATTTACAGCTCTTTGATATTTATTACCACCTTTAAACGCAACCTCAATCTCTTTCATTTGCAGCTCCTTGATATTTATTATCTTTATCTCTTTTGCGCGCAACCTCAATCTCTTGCATGCATTTGCAGTTCTTTGATATTTGTTATCTACTTTAAACGCAACCTCAATCTCTTTCATTTGCAGTTCGTTGATATTTATTGTCGCTTTCGAACGCAATTTCCATCTCTTGCATTTACGGCTCCAGAGGCCGGTTGCCTCGAATATCTATTCATAATTTCTGCAAGGCACACATCTTCTGAAAGCCCTAAACATCATTCGTGTTTTTTTAATATTTGTGGAGTAATCCTGCAGTAGTTTGTTGGTCAGACTTGGTCTAGGTCAGTGCGGCAACAGCTTACGGCTCGCATGTTGTGAGAGGTCAGTTCTATTGACGCTGTTTTCATTTACAATGGAGTGGAGATTTCTTTCGTGTAAACGAGCATCAACTTATTGTAGAACTTTATTCTCTTCGCCGTGCTTTTGAAAACGTTTATGTTCGACTGCGGTATTGTCCTGTGAAGTTGTGAACTTGTTGGGTCTCACAGAAATCCCAACTAGCCTAAATGACCGAATAGGTTCGGGTTGTTGATAAATAATAATTGAAGCACTTCATTAAACCACCCTTTCAAATAAAAGAATTAAATAACGCAGGCAACAATTTTTTTTCTGTGGCAGAACTGAAATTATTTTATCTAGTTCACTTTTTCACGCTGAATTCTAATTCAAATTAAAATTGCTGTGTTAGCTCTAGCTTTTATGCAATGTAGTTATACACTTTTTATGCTTATGGATTTATTATATAGAGATTAAAAGCAATAGTTATTGGTCATTTTGCATTGGAAACTCTAGGGCATTTATATGCTTGATTGTTCACAGCTTCTGGCCATTCTCTGTTAACTGTCCAACAGTAGTCTGCTGTCACTGAGGAGTTCAATTTCAATTTATACCTCTTTGCCATTTGTTCTTCCAACATGTTCATCCAACCGAGGTTGTCAAACTAAGTATCCTCTATGAGTTCCGATATTTATTACCTACAA